CATGAAAGCTTCAAACGCAACAGACAAAATAGAACTGGCGGAGCTTTCGACGTTGGTTAGTGAGCGTAAGGTATCCGATGTAAGAAGTTATAGCATGCAGAGAATTGGACATGGTCTAAAGAACAGAGGAAGGGTCAAAGCGGGGAAGAGAAAACTTGGGATATAGGTAAAGACCAGATGTATGCACTAAGGGACAACGAAAGCAAAGTAACTATGTATGGATAGGATATAGTTAAAGTAGCGGAGGAGTTTTACAGAGATCTTTACAGTATTAGGGTCAACCATGACCACAATGTAAGAACTAGCAGTAACTCAGATGGCATCCCACCAGTAATGACAGAAGAAGTCAAGAATTCGTAGGAGGTATTGCAAAGAGGCAACGCTGCTGGTGAGAATCAGGTAACATCAGATCTGCTGAAAGACGGAAGACAGATTGTGTTAGAAAAACTGGCCACCCTGTTTACGAAGTCTCTACTGACGGGGAGGGTACCAAAATCTTGGAAGAATGCTAACATCATCTTATTACATGAGAAAGGAGATGACAAGGACTTGAAGAATTACAGGCCGATTATCTTGCTCTCCGTTGTATACAAGCTATTCACAAAGGTAATTGCTAAGAGAATTAATAAAATATTCGAATTAAATCAACGAAAGGAGCAAGCAGAATTTCAAACAGGCTACTCAACAATCGACCCTATTCATACTATGAATTAGGTGATCGAGAAATGCTCAGAATACACCCAACCACTATACAAAGCATTCATAGATTACGAGAAGGCTTTTTATTTAGTCACACAGACACTGCTGAGATATCTGCAGTCAAGCAGACACTGCGGAATCAGGGCGTCGACGAAGCATAGATAAACATGCTGGAAGAAATCTACAGAGGATCAACTGCTACCTTAATGCTCCATAAAAAAAGTGAGATAATACCAATAAAGAAGGCTGTAAGGGAAGGAAATATGATCTCCCCAACGCTATTTATCGCGTGCTTATAACAGGAGTTTTTCAGAGGCCTAAAATGGGAAGAGTTACGGATACGGGTTGATGGAGAATACCTTATAGAAACAATTGCGCTTCGCCGATGGCATTGCATTGCGAAGTAACTCAGGGGATGAATTGCAATTCAAAATTACTGAATTAGACAGGTAGAGTACAAAGGTAGGTCCTAAACTGAATCTTCAGAAAACGAAAGTGATCTATGTACAACAATCTCGGAAGATCGGAAGAGAATAGATTTACTGTAATAACCGTTGAATAACTTCACTTCCAATACACCTGCACTGATAGATAGATAGATAGATAGATAGATAGATAGATAGATAGATAGATAGATAGATAGATAGATAGATAGATAGATAGATAGATAGATAGATAGATAGATAGATAGATAGATAGATAGATAGATAGATAGATAGATAGATAGATAGATAGATAGATAGATAGATTAGATAGATAGATAGATAGATAGGTAGATAGATAGATAGATAGATACACAGTGAAGTTACACTGATGCCAATGGATTTCAGATATGATTGCGCAATGTCTGTGTTGCTTTGTAAGCCTGCCAATAAGTACATGAAGCCTGCTGTATAACATGATATTCCACCCTTCGTTCTTTCTTTCCCTCCTGTCACAATCGCCTCTGTGCAGGGAAACAAACTGGAGATACTTAGGGCTGACCACCCATGCCTTTCTTTTATCATTCCTCTTTCTCTCTCTCCGGCACTGCTTCGGCGGGGAGTCCATCCACAACGCAGCGTGGCTTTTGAAAAACAAGGCCATCGACGGTCTCCCCTACCGGACAGGCGACCGAATTTCGAAGATTCGTGTGTATTTTTTTTTTTTTTTTTGTCATTCTCGACTTCTTTCCTTGTCTCCGTGTCGCTATCGACGGCTGTCAGTTCGGGGAAGGAGTGTGTCATCACGCCCGTCGCTTGTTGGCGGTTACTTCCTACTACGTTTCGATCAATAAAAGAGGGCGACGCCGCCACGTCACTTTGTGTGCGTGTGCGCGCGCGAATATATACGTGTGTTTCTCGCGTGTTTGTTTTCTCGCGAGCTTGTTTTATGGAATGATATTCTTCTGGACCTGTTGGCTTCCTTTTGTGTTTCTTGTTGTTCGAGCCTCTTTTTTTTTCTCTACCTCTCTCTATCCTTTCTTTCCTTGGTATTAATATACATATTTTTTTTATTGGACGAGCGAGAGAAGATGCAGGAAGTGGTCGACTTGTTTCGGTGAGGCTGCGAAAATAAAATATCGCGTTAGTGCGGAGCTTATAAACGCTGCTGCAGTCCAGACAGGAACGATGATGCTGCGTTCCTGCTTTGCACAGTGTTTTGTTTAGTGTTTGTTCGCTTCTATTTGAACGTTTCTTCCCCCCGATGATACGTCAGTGGTTAAAGTGACTGCCTGCCTTTTTTTTACCATCCCGTTAGACTGGAGTGGGGTGGTGGATAACAACATGAAGCAATCGATTTAAACGAAATGATACGTTCCACTGATTCACGTTTCAACTCGTCAACATTATCCGACGGGTTTTTATGGCTGTTCCGACGGGTGTTCATCGGCGTATTATAAAGGACTCAGAGCGTACGGAATCATGACGAGCTTTGTTGGTGCAACTGCTCGAGCCCCATGTGTGTTTTATTCTTTATCTCTCTCTGTGCGAAAGGGATACATACGTGCATTTAATAGCACCTTCCGGCCAACATACCATACACGTCAAGCTAGATGCCTATATAGAATCGTGCGAAGAGCCACAGCGCAACTAAGACCTTTTTTTTTATTGCATCACTCTCTTCAGTCATAATAAAGAAAATGTTTCATATGACTGTTTCGTAAACCCCGTAAGCAAACGTACGTATTGTTATTGCAAACTTTCATTCACGTCTTGATGACATTTCGGATTGGCTAAACTTTGGACAGACGTACGAACAAAGCGGAAGTGCATGGTACCAGAAAAAAATACGAAAGAATGTTATTGAAAGCTATCTTTCATTCACACTTGCCGAAATTGTGGTAATTATAACCACCTAAGATCCCATTATTACTACTGGTGGAGCAAAATTAATCGACAGCGAGTACACTACACTTAACCTAAGTTATGGTGTCTTATTAGTCCCGCATGTGGCACGGTAAAAAATATGTACGAACCTATTGCACTCAAATGATGCTTTTTTTTTATATTCCGCATAAAATATGAATTTATAGAACGGTAAAGGCATATGTACGAAGTTACACTCCTCATGCATATGCCTATCACGAGATATTGGGAATTTTATGAGTAACGGGAAATTTTCCCAAATAGGCAGGCAGTGGCAATGTCGGTTTTTACAAATTCAATTTCCACTCGCCAGGCCTATAACTACACATGGTCTGTTTGTTACAGCACGAATATGTGCTTTCACTTTTTTCTGTGCTTTCAAATGTCATATATATTTTGCTTCCTGTCTAATTTTATATTTTTATCGTGCGGTCTGAGGATTGGTTTTCCTACCTCACAATAAATAATTTCAGCTTTGTCTAAAGGGTAAAAGACGATGTAGCCGGCTCGAAAGGCCGCATAAAAAGGGGCTGAAGTTCCTTCTTGTCGTTTCCTTTCTTTTTCCTCTTTGAAGCAGTCAGTTCAGCAACTCAATATACCGACGTTGGCGTTTGTAACTGCGGCACGTTTTGAAAAAAATCGCCGTATCGGACAACTTCGAAAAGTCTGCGTTGTCAGTTTCTGAATTCCCTCACCTCAATTATTGTTGGAAGAATCGATGGTGTCCCTCCAGAAGGACCGAGATCGCAGTTACCAAAATACGATGTCGAGTCCCCCCACTGAAGTTTTACCTACGCAGGTATGGTCTGGTACAGTTACCTTTATGCCTCCTTTGCAATGAGTGTGAATCTCTTGATCATTTATTTCTAACGTGCAGATTATTCACCAATCAGAGGAAAAGACTTCCGGACGAACCGCTTTAAAAGTTGAGATTAAATTTATCCCTTCCGGTTCTTCTTTCCTTTGGGGCTACCGGGCTGGGCTTTAGCCACAGGAGTGTTTGCGAAGCCATTTGCGATTTCCTTCCGGAGACGAGAAGTATAGAATGCTAAATTCATCGTTAAAAAAAATCAAAATCAAGCATATTCTTTAAAAAAAATTAACATTTGATATTACGAACTCTTCCTTTTAAACAGCCAGACACCGATCGTTTCATGGCCGGTCCCCCATGGTGGGTTGTGCCAGGATAAAAAAAAAGGACAAACAAACAAACTCAATATGTTCTCACAAGAGCTCAGCTCTGTGGGCTCGACATGGAAAGATACGAGAGAACGTTAACACGGTAGTGTAAGTGTATCTCATCCCGTCCTTCACGTTTACTCGTAAGCAAGACTCCAGCTCAATCGCAGCGATCATCAGAAATCTAAAGTCTCTCGCTCCGTTGGCAACGCGTTACGTAGTGGTTGTTGCCGTTTATTTACGCAGACCAGTGCTGAAGAAAACGAGACACAACGTAACATAAAATAAATTTCACCGCCGTACTAGCATTGCGTTGCGTCCCGCGTCCAAGCCAGCTATTTAGGCGTTCCTTGCTCATTGTTATTGATTAGTTGAATCAACAACTTTACGGTGAACTTTTGTAACAATTTCAGCTAATTCTCTGTTGCAGAACGCAGTACGCCTCCGCGTACCCTATTCAGATGCGGCAGTCCGCCCCGCTCTTCGCGTAGCCTGCCCTTCGCTAACACTCGCGCGACAGGGTCCACGGGCCGGTCGACTGTCTGCCACTGGCTTCTCGCCAATGAGGAGGATACCGGCACAACCGCTTTCACGTCGTTCCTAAACGTCGCCAGGCGGCGCCACTCTCCGGACAGCCCCTCGCGCTCTCCGGAGTCGCAAATGGCCCTCTCTCTCTCTCCCACCGGGGGCCCGATCCGTCGCCGCACGCATCGCGCTCGTGCGATTCACTCGCGGGCCGCTTAGTCGAGTGCGGCACTTTCGCGCGTAGTCCTCTCCGAAGAAGAGAGCATGGCATCGACCGACGCTGCCTCGCTGCTTCCCGAGAACCTCTCGCTGGGCGGCGGGCACGCCGCGCCGCAGTCGGTCTCTTCGTACATGGGGGGCGACAGCCGGGGCTCGTCCCCCTGCGGTCCGGACCTGCCGCCGCCCCTGCCACCCGCGTTCAACGCGGCCGCGCTCTGCGACCAGTTCTGCTCGGTGATCAACGGCTTCCGCGGCGGCCTCGACCCGCTGTCGTCGGCGGCCGCCGCGGCGCGACTCAAGAGTCCGTCCCGGTCGGTGGCCGCGGACGCCACCGACTGCCGCCTCATCGAGTACCGCGGCGAGAAGGTGGCCGCGTTCGCGTACCGCGGCGAGTACCTGCTGTGCCTGCCGCAGGCGTTCGAGCTGTTCCTCAAGCACCTGGTTGGAGGCCTGCACACCGTTTACACCAAGCTCAAGCGGCTGGGCATCAGCCCCATCGTGTGCAACGTGGAGCAGGTGCGCGTGCTGCGCGGACTGGGCGCCATCCAGCCCGGCGTGAACCGGTGCAAGCTGTTGTCGTGCAAGGACTTCGACTCGCTGTACAAGGACTGCACCACTGCCAGGTCAGCACGCTACCTTACGCTCGGGTTGGTTGCCGTCGAGAACCCACTTCTTTATTGTTGTTCTCTTCACTGTCCCTCCTTCCCACAGTCACACCGTGCATCCCGTTAGAATGTGCGTGCGTGTGTATCTTGCGAGGACGTGCCACTTTCATTGATTTGCTCATCAAGCCATTCTTATTCACCCCATCACCCCCCTCCGTCCTTTTTCTGCGGGTCGTTTTATCCCTTCCTGCATGTCCGTGGTGAAGTAGAGCCTCGCATCCCGATATCTTTTTTTGTGATGCAAACATACTTGCATCCTTGCCGTACCATTCATGCATACCAAACTAAATGCTCGTAAGTGGGGCTGTATCAAGGAGATTTTAAAAAAAATCCTTGGGCTGTATATTCTTGTCGCAGTGTTTATATGAGCTTCAATATGAATCTGCTAGTCAAGTCGAGTGAAACCGAGCTTATAGTTGAACTTCCTGAAGTTTCGGAACCAGATAACAAAGTGATGTACGTGTTTATTTCTCGTACGCCTACCCCTCCTTCCAAGCAAAGAAAAAAAGTAAATCAAGCAGTACCTTCTTGGCATTCCTCTCTGCGTAACCTTCCTTCGCTAATCTATAACGCATGTTTCATTGTATTGCCACCAACCATAATTTTCTTTCGATGTCAAGGTTCATGCGAGACTGAATTGGCAAGCTTAGCCACGTCAGACTCACCGCGTTTAGGTTCAGAAATCAGTCCATATCAATATTCGCACATTAAAATCACGATCTTTCAGAACCATTGCCTCACTAAATCCTCATCTGAAGCGAGGAGGGAATCCCATTTTTCTTTCTTTATTTATTTTTTATCGGCTATCTTGGTTGGCTGGTATCCAAATAACTTTCGTTACAAAGTATCGAATAAAGAAATCCTCAATATAGAACCAACACTTCTATAGAGAATATGGTTTCCGCTGCTGGATTAGGTAAAAGCTATAACTCTGTAAATTTAATGAACGCCTTCTCTCAGAAATCCCCGTTATACATATTAACCGTAAACCCCGTTATATCACTACGACCTTATTTATGACGTAATGCTGGCGTTGCCGCTCCATCAATAAGCGACATCTCTATCTGATTGTGTGCAGCTATGCAAGATCGAATTAATAGTCGCTAAAAAAAACTCACAGCTAAAAGGCTGTCACGATAATGTACGGCGTGACACGCTCTTCAGTGTGAACATAAAATTAGCGTTCAATCCGACAGAACTTCAACATATTACGAGCTTCATTAACAAACTTTTTGTTGTGGTTTGTTAGATGTATCTGTATTGGTTGAAAGTCGCACTCAACAGTATAAAAGCTTTACTCAGCACCCAAATATATATTTAGTATGCTCTTCCATAGGTGCACTAAACCATGCGATTCACAAAAGGGCGTTCATTATTGCGTGCTTGTATAATTACAAACTTTCTCACCTTGCTTACTTCCGATCTCACATTGCGTACTACTCGTGCTCCAAAAAAGAGGTTGTTTCTGTTTGGTCACATTTATTAGGTTGTGTGCTACTACACTCCTAATCGGGTCTTGATTGCCGCTGGCTATATCCAGAACTTGTAGAAGGACCTGATTCAGGGTGAGGTGCAAGTTTTTCCATAGTCCGGCATATTACTAACAATTGCTCGAGCTCGCACTTAACATAAGCTCCGTTAATATATAGCTTGGTTGTTCTAGAAACACCCAATATATTTATTCTACGCTCAATCACGAGAAAAACCGGAACTGGTTTGTTTCATCTCGGCCCCTTATTTCATGAGGTCCTTAAATACCGTAAGCTTTATATTTTCAATTCAATTCAGTTCGGTTTTATTTTCCAGTATGTACATGCTGGATGGTTGGGTTAGGTTAAAAGCAGTGTACGTAGCAATTTTATGGGGCCCAACGACAAGACTGTATGATGCAGTAACAACAAACAGACTTAACGACACTGTCTGCAAGCGCGAAAAATAATTTCTTTGAACAGCAATATCACACTGCCCTCTGTTTCATCTATAGGCCTAACATTAAGCACCAGGAATTTCTTTTCGTAACTATCACAAACTTCATTGAGCTCCAGCGAGGTTATTCTAGAACATGACGACTGAGCTTATTATTTTTTTAATCAATCAGTGGCTGCTTTCTATCTTATTAACCTTTCAAGACAAAAAAGCAATCAGGGTATCTCGTCTAGTCTTCCTTTCTGTTGCTCACCATCAATTAGGAGATGCCTACCTCTACTGGCTCCTGTCAGTCTTCTTTCAATATTCATTACTTTGGTCGAGCTTGGTCCATTCCATTTTATACCACGGCCGTTACACCCTGACAGGGTCCTTAATTCCTCCGCATCCACGGGAAGTTACTTCCGTCATCACAGTACGCATTTCTTCCGTCATCCGGAATTACACGAAGGATGACGCATCGACCTAACGCGGGTGTTATAAGGTGCTACGTGTGTCGCGCACACCAACAGTGTACGGTTAAAGATATGTATACACTGCGGACGTTGAAAGTTTACGTAGCTCCATGTCTTACTTTTCTTTCCAGTCATTAGTGCTGTGAAATGCATGCCACTCATGAGTACACGTGTATAACGGGTATATCTATCAACAAAACTTATTATGTGCTGCTTCGATTTTCCTTTCCATTACGTGAAATTCGCGCATTCATTATATTCTCCTCTTTCTTTCTATAATGTATTGAAGTCGTGTACAAACCTTACTCTCCGGCATAAGGTAAAAACAAATAATGAAATGGCTTGTTTATTTACGGACAGTGAGTCCGTAACATCCATATTCATACATGCGAGGTATATGTTTGCGTGAATAGCTGATAAGGGGAAAAAGTTAAGGTCATGCCCCGAAAGAACGTGTGTATTCCTATTTGCTCACCCTAATGCAATAAGTGAAATAGGATACGATTCCGCTTTTCCTTCAAACAGTAAAACAGCCCATTTAAGCGAGGAGCCGAAAAGGAAAAAGAAATAACGCAGTTTCAACTCCCCCACGTACTTTAATTATACGAGGTTATAATAAAATATTATATAACCGCGCTAACCGCTTTCGGTACGTTAATGTTTATTTTTCATGGTTGAGAGTCTATAGCTTTTCATTACATTCTATAGGAACGTTTATTAGTCAATCGATAAGTTCATGGCGCAGCGTACTCGGTGGAGCTGTGAAAGCGGAAAGATATACGTGCGTCGCCATTACTGATCTTTTTATTTCGAGTGCAACGTGGAAATTAAAACCGTAAAATTCGCATTGCCTTTCAGGTTAAAATGAACTTGACGCAGATGAAAACCGCGGAGATCGTTAACAATTAAGTGTAAAACTGTCAGTGCAATGTAGCGATGATATATCACGATGTCGCTTTTGAGAACTTGCGCGTTTCTTGTTCAGATGGAGCTTCCAGAGAATAGTGTGTCTACGTTTCATGACAAAAAAATTAATGTTCACTCAAAACGAATCGTTGATGCATATATTTCGTACAATGGTGTGGGTCATTATAAATTTCCAACCTTGTCATCCGCGGATGGCTCAGTTAGAAACGATTGGAATAGTACTCATGTCGCTAAGGTTTGTTTTTCTGTTGTTGTTTTTTTAATATATTTGTCGGATTTTTCCCGCGGCATTGACACAAAAGCTATTTACAAATATTTTGGTTATCAAGTGCGATTGCACAGTGAGTGTCAGCATTCGATCAGGGCATAATCAGTTTAGCTGTATATTGAACGTCACAATTGTCCAACAGCTAATCTCGTGAATAAACAGTGTACGAATGGTTTTCTGTGAATATGACAATCTGTTCAACGAAAAAAGTATCTTGAGCTAGAATTATTCGTGAGATTAAATTGCAGCCAATCTATTCAGAGAAAAAAATATCTTGAGCTAGAATTACTCGTAAGATTAAATTGCAGCCAATCACAATGCTTAGCAGGATATTACCAAAGGCCTATAGCAAGTGGCATCTGCATGCGAAAGAAAAGCTTTGCAAATACGCTGCTTGCATGGGCACTACCGAAAAAACTCTTCGGCCGGAACATTTCTTACGAAAAAAATTGCAGCGTATAATCTTGATTCTTGACCTTTTACTAGCGAAAGTGGTCTATAATCATAAAAAAGCCAGTGTAAATGAAAGCCTGTGAATTAGGCTCATACTTGATAAGGCATATGCTTACTGCATTCTTCACGATTTGCGGGCAAGATGACGCAAGGTTCTCGTTCATTCGTCAATACTGATAACCATTGTCCGACCACCTTTGCTAATAACATGTCCGTTACTGTGATTGGCTGGAGTAAACGCTATTACTTTGTCATCAGAAACATGGTGTCATTGCAAGCGTTGAACGCGTAAAAACTGAACTGCTTTGAATACGTACGTGAGCTCTCGGTTCGTATTATGCTTGTCGCTGGTTTCATTGCGCTGTTTATTCTTTAGTATACCTTGATGAATTTGCAAATAGTAGCGTAAACAAGGAATCCACGGTCATTTTTTTTTTAAGGAGTAGAAGTCTTCGATGATAAATACACCAGAGAGACATTCGTTCGTATAATGAGCCAACACGAATAGTCTTTCAAATTTTAAGCTTGTGAAAATGAGGTTATTACTAGCAATAATTAACCAACCGCAAGGCGTATCTCGTTCTTGCCTCTATTTTCTTTCTTTTTTCGTGCCATAACGTTAAAGTTGCGTGATTAATGTGATTGCACGAATCGGCATACATTAATATTTTGTGAGGTTATTTCATATATATATATATATATATATATATATATATATATATATATATATATATACGTGTGTGTGTTTGTGTGAACGAGAGAGTGAGAGAGAGAAAACCATCGCAGTCTCATAAATATCAGCTCATCAAAGACGGTTCCACGAACTGGCGTTATGCATAATCAGAAAAATCCGACACCTCACCGGTATTAAGCCTGCACAACCCAACGTATACAGTCTTATGCTGGATAATTAACTACACAAACAAAAA